AGACTTTATCATAGATTTTCCTTAGCAAAATTGATTCCTCTGAGGCTGAAAGAATGGGACTTGCCCAGAGACACCCAATGGGTTCACACGGCTCAGCAGGTATTTGAAGCCTCATCTCCCAGTCATAGTCCGGTGCTCAAACCATTACCCCATTGTAGCCCTCAGTAACCATCCCTGTCCTCAAGTTATTATCACAAAGTGTCACGAGTATTTGGAGGCCAGGTCACATCTGCTTTGTTGATCGGAACATTTTATATTTTTATAGTGAAGGATGATACAAATATTCTTTTAGTTGTGTTATGTTGTTAGATGGGGGCGAAACATCAGGAGAGAATGCTTCAGGAACATGGCCATACACCCCGGAAAACTTACTCACAACAACCCATTCTTTTGGTTACTGAACATGACTTTTAAAAATAGGCCAATGCATTTAGGTGGATAGTATCCATGAAATGCCATAGCTTCAGAATTATTGAAAATTTTAGTAGAATTATTGAAAACTGTAATCTCTTTGTGTTTTGACTATTTTGACTGTGTGTTCCTGCATTGTAAGGGGTTGGACTGGGTGGCCCTTGTGGTCTCTTCTAGCTCTATGATTCTTTCAGCAGATTTTTACAAAGTGCAAAATTTCAATCATTTCTGATCTGCTTGTCTCTCTTAGGAGACTAGAGAATTGTATGCTTTCCTGATCTCTGACCAAGAATGGTGTTAATGCTATTTGAGCAATCAAATCCTGAGGGTTTCCAGAAAGGCTTGGGTAAGGATCTTTTTAAAAATGGAGACTGCAAGAGTGTTTAAGGCTTCTGAATTTTCTCACATCTCCATTACTGAGTGACATAAGCTTGACTGAGTGGGAGTAGACTGGTCAAGGTCTCTGTTGCACAACCTGGAGAAAAGCCAGTCTGAGTAACCATTGCAGGTGCTATCTGATTTAACTCTGCCTAATAGATTTCATCATTGCATGTATAAACGCATGTACATAAGTCCTGGATGGATGGATGTATAAAAATATGCAGCAAAGTCTCTGCTGAAACTGATTTCAGCCCATTTCTTCACTCCATTTCCTGAGAGGCTTTGTGCGTAACCTTTGCACAGGCTCATCCTCTCCCATTTCCTGAAGGAAACCTCAGATAAGGGTGAATCAGAGAAACTGTTTCGAATAAGTCAGATTCACTGCTGATTGCCAAGCGAGGTGTGTGGGCTGGGCTTGATTTATAGGCCCCACCCTTGACCCTCCACTAGGGAGGCAGCAAATAGAGAATTCAAGATATTTTTTTCAACAGCTGTCAAAGAGGGAGACCCTGCCCTAACTCTTGGCAAGAGCCATCACCTTATTTGTAAAATCTGAAAAAGCGATCTCCAAATATTTTTCCTGTTTCCAAAGAGATGGTAAAACAATATTTAACTTTGGAGCAAATGAGTGCACATTTGTTTATCCTAAAGAAATAATATACTTCCTGAACACATCTTTTAAAAAAATTCTTCTGATATCAGAGACACAATTAAAGAGAACCTTCTCATGGAGCATATTTGCTTGATGGGTCACTTGTTTACAAATGTCTCTCTTATCTGTGTGGGCTACTGCTGTATGCGAGAATTCATTCTGGTTTGTTCGACTCCCACCAAAAATATTTTAGAGATGAGCTCAAGTTTACCACCTGGTGTGTCAGAAATATATTTTCTATTCTTATACAACAGCATACACTGCAACAATGAAATCATCTTTGAAACTTTGCATAATTTGTACAAATATAGAGAGCAAAGGATTATTAAGTATATCACTTAAAATAAGCAATTTTTATCTGAGGAAAGGTAGGCAAGGAAAGGTGGGCACAGGCTAGGAGACAAATGGCTAAACAAGCACTGGGTTACTGTGAGTGTTCCAGAAGCATTCTCTTCTGACATTTTACCAACATCTATGGCAGGCATCCTCAGAGGTTGTGAGGTCTCTGTTGGAAACTAAGCAGTGAGGTTTGTATATCTGTGAGTAATTTCTCCCACCCTGGACATTCCACAGATATATAAATCCCACTTGCCTTGTTTCCAACAAATCTCACAACCTCTGAGGATGCCTGCCTGAAACAGATGTGGGTGAAACATCAGGGGAGAATGCTTCTGGAACATGGCCATACAGCCTGGAAAACTCACAGCAACCCAGTGATTCCAGCCATGAAAGCCTTTGACAATATGCTAGACAAGCATTTTGTATTATTTGAATTTACTCCATATAGCAAAATGTATATGAGTCAACACAGTGATAATGAAGGGCAAAACACTCATTCCATTTTATGATGATTATTAATGGTGTATAACACAAGCATATTTATTATTTCTTCTTTTCTTTCAAGTGTTAAAGGCAATTTGCATCTCCACCCATACCCAAGAGCAATATTTTAGTTATAGTGGTGTTAAGATTTGGTTGATGTTTTAAGCAAGATTACAATGGAACAGGAGAGATAAATATTATAGTGATAGTCTGACTAAGAGCCTCCCAGATTATTAGAGCTAAAGATTTCACACTAGAATATGGGATCACTGAAAATGTTGTTTATGGCAATACACATGACACCATTATGAAATCTGGAACATGTGACATTGTAGCACACAAGTTCTGTTTATTAGTTTAGAAACCAAAGTTTTATCTAATAGAGGTAGAACATTCCTCATCTGGAATTCCAAAATTCAAACTATTCCAAAATCTGAAATCAGTGCACACAAACTTTGGTTAATGCACAAAAATATTGAGGATACAATTAGCTTCAAACTATGTGTATAAAAAGCACATGAAACATGCATTAATTTCATGGTTGGACTTGGGCCTCATCTCCAAAATATCTCATTATATGCAAATACATATAGTCCAAAATCTGAGGGGGGGGGGGGATCTAAAATCCAAAATAGTTTTGGACTCAAGCTTTTTGGTTAAGGCAAAATTCTTACAGCTTGCTACCTGTTCAATTCTGTGCTCAAGCAAACTGATTAACTGAAAACATTCTGGCAAAAGTCAATAGATGGAGTAAATTGGTCACTGAAGTAATGTAGAATGAATTTATATTTTTATTCCTGACAGCCTCCAACATGCCTATGCAAAGCAATTATCTTGTGAACTTCAGTAGATGTTTACTATCTCACTGGACAGATGAAGCAACTGTAATTAACTCACCTCTCTATATATTTTGTTCATACATCACAAACACATGACGGCTGATTGACTCAAGAAAAGCTAGACCATTGCATAATTTCTTTGCACTACAATACTCAAGTCTTTCACTGACACAACACTGTATAACGTCTTTCTAGTTTGGCTGATAAAATGAGAATTAGCCTTACATTTTCACTCCTATTGTCTTGCCTCTCTTCATCTATCTTGGACTGATAGAAAATATACTTTTAAAAAAAAAAGAAAAAGAAAAAAGACAGTCTCAAAGTATAATTGCAATAATTTTTCAGTAGACTGACCAAGCATTTCTCTCTTATATTGGTATTAGTATGTTTTTCCATAATCCTAGATTAGAAAACGTTTACACCAAGACAAGCACAGAAAACGCAAGCATTAGCTTTTAACTCTTTCTTCAATATCCTCTCACAAAATCATATTTAAACTGTGATCCAACAATCTGGAAAACTGGGTCTTCTTCATTTAGCTCACAACAAGGGAACAATCTGAGTCAATGTGAGAACAGCAATCAGGGATAATATATAAAATGATAACAATTGATCAGCCCTGGATATTGAGTTTGTTTTGATCACTAACAGGATATAGAATATTCAAGACACATTCTACATTAGTGGTTCTCAACCTTCCTAATGCCGCAACCCCTTAATACAGTTTCTCATGTTGTGGTGACCTCCAGCCATAATTGTTTTTTTCGTTGCTACTTCATAACTGTAATTTTGCTACTGTTATGACTCGTAATGTAAATATCTGATATGCAGGATGTATTTTCATTCACTGAACCAATTTGGCACAAATACCCGATATGGCCAAATTTGAATATTGGTGGGGTTTGGGGGGACGGGACTGGTTTTGTCATTTGGGAGTTGTAGTTGCTGGGGTTCACCTACAGTCTGAGAGCATTCTGAACCCCACCAACGAGGGAATTGAACCAAACTTGGAACACAAAACTCCCATGACCAACAGCAAGTACTGGAAGTGTTTGGTGGGCATTCACCTTGAGACTGGGAGATGTAGTTCACCTACATCCAGAGAATACTGTGGATTCAAGTATTGAAGGATCTGAACCAAACTTGGCACAAATTCTCAATATATCCAAATATGAACACTGGTGGAGTCTTGGGAAAATAGATATTGACATTTTGGAGTTGTAGTTGCTGAGATTTATAGTTCACCTATATTCAAAGAGCCCCTTGAACCCCATCGATGATAGAATTGAGCCAAACTTCCCACACAGAACCCCCATGACCAATAGAAAATACCAGAAGCATTTGGGAGGAATTGACAATGAATTAGGGGAGAGCATGCCTGCTCTCCCCTCCCCACTTGTAGTCTCAGAAACAGCCCTCCCCTTGGGTGAGAGGCTGGCTGGGAGGCTGGCCAATCACAGCTGAGGAAGGCTTTTGGTGGAAAGATTCGCCAGTTGTGTCCAAAAAGGAAGAGAAGGACAGGCAGAGAGATCTTCAGCCTTCTCTTCCACAAATATGTATTTTCTGATAGTTTTTGGCAACCCCTCTGAAACCCCCTTGTGACCCCCCCCCCAGGGGTCCTGACCTCCAGGTTGAGAAACACTGTTCTACATAATAGTATGCTTGGTTCAGAATGTAACATCACAACCTATTATTTAAACAAAGGCTGGAGGTAAGATAGACAATGACCATATACTACCAATATAAAAAACAAGTAATTTTTAAAATAAAAAATAAACACTAGTCAAAAGGAATATTTGTTGTAATTTATACATAGGATCCAATATGCTCACAGCCTAAATAAACACATTCAAAACAACAGAACACTGAAATTGTGCAACTATAGGAAGTCTTACCGTAGATCTAGACCAGCCTCCTTCCAAAGTAAATCCATCAGGCGTAACATCTGAAGCGTCAGCATGTCTTGCCGTAGATCTTCAAGAAAGGAAGATACAATTTCATTTTTTAAACATAGCTGCTAAGTAATTTGAATTAAGGGGTTTAAAAGACTAAACAATATTATGTGAACTGTGATAATATCAGTAAATGAAAAGGAAGGCTTTTAATCTTCTATGCACAAATGTTTAGATGAAGTCAGCAAGAAACTCCATTTCCTTTCCAGACTGCTTTTGGACACAAGCTGTACTGAAATAATGGAAATGCCCAAATGTACCATTGTTCATCAGTCGATGAGGTACTGTGTCAAAATATTGGAGTACATATTGAGGATGAGATGAAAATAGTAACCTTAGAAAATAAAGTTATTTTGTTTCCTTACCATCTCCATTTTTAAAGATGATCACCACCAAATCGCCACCAAATACTTTGTTATTGTATACTATCCACAAAGGCTTCATTTTAGAGTCCATGTATTTACATTTCTCCACACTAGAACAAAGTATAACAAATAATTACTAGCGAGCTATGTAAGAAGATTAACAAGCCACAAAAATGTAGCAGAATAGAATAACTCTGAAGGTAATTCCATAAGAAAATTCAATCACTTGGACAAACGCCTTTCAAAACTTTCATTTTGCTGCTACAATATCACTAACACTGGCAAATTGTCATGTTGCATAGATCTTGGCTCTATATCTGGCAACCACTAAATCCAAGGAATGAAACAGTGATCCATATTTACTCAGAAAACACATTTTATATTTATTATAAAAGAGAAGCCAATTTTTACTTAATTCTATGTTTAAAAGGTTATCCATAGGTCTATTCAAAGTAGTGGCCCATGGACCAGTGCCGATTTGCAAGCTATTGGCCGTTGGTTTCCAGTAGGGTTTGAGAAAAGAAAGACACATTTGTAGTCAATGAGCATAAATATGGTGCTGGTCCTGGCACAGAGACAAAACAAGTGGTTCGTCCCTCATATCATATTCCTTAAGAAATACAAGTCCAGAACATATTATAATCACTGTAGTGAAAGAGAGATGCTGCCACATAGTCTTTGAGCATGTGTGCATATGCCCACACAGAAAGAAATTGTTAATTTAAAGGTGACACATTATTATTATTGGAGAGTGTAGGACAGTGTCACAAATGTCTTCTGTCTTAACTCCAACTGACATCTTAAACTTTGGAAGGCAGAGATTTGCTTGCATAGTTAGGTTGAAGCAAGAGGGAGTGTCAGTCACATGAAGAAATACCATTTTTTGTGCCAACATGTCTGTTGAGCAAGACAGCCAACAGAAGTCAAAGAGCAAGAGCCTTCTGCCTGTCTGTTTCCACCTAAGAGCTACAGCATACGGGGAAGCAGAAAACCACATCACTTACTACAGTTCTGAAAGTAAAACAGAAGGATTCAGAGGGGATTGGAGATCAGAAAGGGCTTCTTTGTACGCTCTTTGTTTTAAACAGGCGTGCATTGCTTCTTTTCCTTTAGCTCGGCTTTGCTTCATGGCATTCAGTTTTATTAAATTATTCAAAGTTTTCATCTTATTCAGTGCTTCTACCTGAAAGAGATACATAAACCATGATTTTGTAAATCATTGCATAGTGAAAAATGGATAATCAAAGTGGTAGGTGGTATTTTGGGGGTGGGGGGAGTAATTATTATTCCTATACAAAGGCACTCCTTTTCAAGGCAGGGAATACAACTTCTACTGAGTGCCTTCTTTTGGGTTATTTTCATACCTAAATGAGAATGTGTTTCATGTAATTTAAAAACACCTTACATCCATGAAAGTGTTTGTGGGAGCAAAATGTGGGTAATTTCACACCCGGAGCCAAAATACATATTTTCAAATGAAGCCGAGCTGTTGTGTAAGTTTTTCGGGGTGTATGGCCATATTCCAGAAGCATTCTCTCCTGATGTTTCACCTGCATCTATGGCAGGCATCCTCAGAAGTTGTGAGGACCTCACAACCTCTGAGGATGCCTACCATAGATGCAGGTGAAACATCAGGAGAGAATGCTTCTGGAACATGGCCATACACCCCAAAAAACTTACAACAAACCAGTGATTCCGGCCATGAAAGCCTTCAACAATGCATTGAGGCTGAGCATTTTGAGCAGCTGTCAGGCTTTCTTGTTAGAAAAAGAACGTAACCAACATAAATGTAATAATTCGTTCTCGCTATAGCTTGTCTGTTTAAAAACACAAACTTTTTATATTTAATAAAAACACCCCTATACTCAGGGACAGCAACTGTATTCATGACAATGCCATAAAATATCTACTTTTCAGATCCAATTCAGTGTGAATTTTGCAGTAATGCAATAATGTGACCGTGGAACTAAAATACCATACCAGCTTAGATGAGAGTTAAAGAAAACACCCCTTGGACAGTTTCAAAATTCTGGCAGAAAAGGTCCTATTCCTAGTAAGGTAAGCATTTCATTTTGGAACTTCCTAATAAGCATATATAAGGGACATGGCTGCAAACTGAAAGGCTTAATGACCCAAGGCTTTCTCCTTATTTTCAATAGTCAAGCATTCCCAGTAAAACAGTGTTACACATCCCAAAATATTCAGCTGTCTTGAATATCTGAAAGGCAGAGTGCCCTTTCAGGTTCAGGCCTGAGTCAACAGAACAAGATATTCTCTTGATTTTAGTACAACCATCAAAATTTAGCAACTAAAAAAGCATTAGAGAACCTGTATGGTGTAGTGGTTTGAGTGCTAGACTATGACTCTGGAGACTCAAGTTAAATTCCTAACTCAAGCATGGAAATCCAGTGTGTGACCCTCAACAAGCCACATTCTCTCAGCCTCAGAAGAAGGCAAAGCCACCCTCCAAAAACCAAACTTTGCTAAGAAAATGGCATGATAGGGTTAACATATCATAAGTTATCATGTGTGAGAAATAACTTGATGACACTCACAAAAGTAAAGCATTAAAAAGTACAATAGTAGTTTCTCCCAATGCTAAAACTTTCTTATGGATGAGCTGGTTTATACAAGGCAGGATGCTGAGGAAGCTGTAAGGGGTTTGATTATGGAAGAGAGGCCAGAGAGAGCTGTCAGGTCAGCCATCTGTCAAAACCAAAAGCTCCTTCTATTTCCACAATTCCAGGAGCTGTGCAAACATCAGCAACAAGGGAACAAAATGCAACCCTTGCTGGACAAACAGGAACTTTTTGAAGTATTTCTACTTTGAATTTCTTCCGTGTTTGCACAGTTGGGATTTTTTGCCCCTTCTTTGATTGCATTGACATGCACTTCCTTTCAAATACCCCCCAAAAATGTCACAGCCTTCAATACCTACATTAGAAATAACTTGAAGACACCCATTACTTTTAAAGAGTTCGCTCAAATGCTAAATAGCACATTTCTTTTTGAAAAAAAAGTAAATAAAAAAAATAAAAAGACAGTATTTTCAAGTATCAAAAAGCTAAAGAAGTCTCTTTTTTTCAATACAGACAACATGCTACTGAATAAAATTGTGTCTGAAGAGGAAAAACCCACAGTAACACCTAAAAGTACTATATTCACCAATTTCCTTACAATGACAAAAAACATCATTTCACTTCTGATGTAGTCTTTCATCTTGTGATATGTGCATCTTGTCAGCAAGAGCAGCTGACACATAATCCCGCTGCCATTCATCGAAGTTTCTTCTACGAGATAAATCTTACTAACATGTCATAGCAGAGACCCTAAGAATGGTTTCATTGATGATTATGCAAATACTTAAATTTTCCTCCATCAGATGCTTTTTGAGCAACGTGAGAGTTGGCTCTGTTAGTGCTACTCCACTATTATTGGATGCAGAGGTGAAAAATACCAGAGCTAAACAGGAGCTTATCCTTACACATACTTGGAAGCACAGCATGAACCATGTGCACGAACGTGGTTTGCTTGAAATAAGTTAAATTATGTTGTTTTCATAAGCAGTTGAAGTACAAAACTAACATGAAGGAAAAGATTTAAAATAGCAAATACCTGTTTAGAAAGTACTTTCATGTGAGCAATGCTTCCACGGCAAAATGCTTCAAGTATTACACCAAACTGCACTGAAATTGCAGGAACATGTACCTCTGATCTGCAAGAAAAGATAACACCCATCCACATGTGAATGTACCTTAAGGAATTCTATAACTAACTTCTGTATTTAAATAACAAATCACAAATCAGTATGTTACAGACAGACACCCAAATTAATTCAAACCCAGGTGTGCATGTAACCTTTCGTATGGAATAGCCTGATGCAATTGTGTCTTGAACTGTTTTGCAAAACAGCTCTTGCTTTCTGTCTCCAAGTTAAACATTCTGTCTCTCAAATCATCTACTCTCTAGAAATGATCAAAATATTTATCTGTGCATCTTGTGATCTCATCATTTGAAAAACAAAACTGAGATAAAAGGCCATGGCGTCTTAGCATGTAAATTCCTTCAGCTATTCAAAGCAACATGTATGTGCCATCCCACTCAGAGTCAACTGAGGGGAGATCCATAAAAGTCAGGAGACAGGCTTTAGAAGAAATCTCCATCTTTGCCACCATAATTAATTTATTAGATATTGAGTAATAAAAATATATTTCCTGACATGAACTGTAGTGTAGCTGGAAAGAATAGAGGGGTGTGTTCCTGATGGCCTACACGAACTAACATGGAATCTCTCATCCACCTGCCTAAACATGTTTTTGCTAATCCTTCTTTTTTGCAGGTCCTACTGGAGGCAAGACCATTGAGAAGGAAGCCTATGGAAAGGAACATCTATAATACCCTTCCTTTATGTCCAGAGCTTTAGTTATTTTAGGAAGACAAGGATTACTTCTCCTTTGAAGGGAAAAAAGCAATCCAAAGGCAACAAGCAGAAATTTAATCTAAAGTCAATAAGCAGGCAAAGCAACCTCCAAGCAGCTTTGCTGCTTCTGAGACCAGAGCTGCCAGATTCAACATGGGGAAAGATAAGCAAGGGGATGGGCATGGTCAGCGGAGAGTTTAATGAAATATTTGACAAACAGTAGGGTAAATTACTTTAGAAATTGTTGATATCTCCTCTACATATACCTTTCACCATGGAAAAACCAAATCAGCAAGATATGCAGGCAGCTTAGTTAAAGCTACCAACAAATGAAACACAGCCTATTATGATTCCTATGCAAGTAACCCAGATGGGATGAAAGTTTGACGTAAGGTTTCAAAAAGCTAAAACCATTTTCTTCAATGCGTACAAGTCTGGACTGTATATATTTACACGTGTAAACACACGTGTGTTGTTTACAATGTGTAAACAACACCATACTCATATTTAAACATTTCTGATCATAAACATCAATCATGCATCCAGCTTTGAAATTTGAATGAGTTCTTCTCAATTTGGCAAACTATGACAAAAAGTACACTCAGAACATCTGAGAACACCAACATAGTGGCAGAATGGTTTCCCTTGGTGAGACTGGGAAACTAGTGAGGACTAAAGGCAAGAGAGATCACGCCAATTTGAAGGAAAACATGCTTCCTTCTGCAGAGGATCTGAGATTGGAGTGGAGGTTGACTTTTGACCAGGACAATGATCCTAAGCAGACAGACAAGGTACCACTGAAGTGGTTTAGAAACAAGAACCAGAATAAACTTGAATGCTGCTGTAGAACAATGGTCTTCATTCAACCTGACGGAGTTGAAGCCATTTTGCAAATAAGAATAGATAAACGCTGAAGGATCAACATGCAGAAAATTTATATCTTCCCCCATGACATAGTTGCGATTGTTGCAAACAGCATTTCTATAAAATACTAACCAAGGGAGATAAATACTTATGGAACTAACAAGTGCCAGTTTACTTAACTTTTGTAGCCCAATAAAATTATTTTCACCTTGACATTGCTGAGTAACTTATAACTTAACATACATTAAATGGTATGTCAGTTAAATCCATTTCCAAATTGTAAAGAAACAAAATGGGGAAATCAGGGAATGTGTGAACACTTCTGTGCAAGGAAGTGTAAATACTTTATGTTTATGCAGTTTTAATTACAAATAAACTGGATTAATAACTGACATTTAACATTGATAAAAAGAAATAATAACAAAACAAGCCTGGTCCCAAACAGATGTTTCTGAACATTCAAAGTGAAGATGTCAATACTTCAGGTCTAGTTGGAACTAAACTTTTAGAATCAATACTTTACTACAAGGGTTCTGCATAAGAAAGAGTGTCTTGGGAGGCATGAGGATGCAACAGTAAGTCTTACCTTAAATGCCAAAACAGCATCTGTCCTATCCTTCTATTTGCCATAGCTTTTTCTAGCAGGAACCTAGATAGGGCACAGTCGAGAAAAGGTTCATATTTCAGTACTTGCACAAGCTGTAGAAGATATTGAGCAAGCTCTTCGTCACTGAAAGAAGATAAAGAGAACTGAGTAAATGGATTTAAATGTGAGGAAGATGTATTAATTGAGTTATATTAATGTGATGAAAGAAAATATGCAACATGAAATGTGTTAAAATAGAGAAGTTATTCGATGTATTGGCAATATAATATACTTATATATAATTAGTAAATAGTATCAAACAAGAACAGAACAGAACTTTCCTCAAGACTCTGGAAGTTATAAACAGCATCAACAATAATGGCAAAACTTGGAAAGTAATTGATATCAGTCAGTGCTGCAGAATTTGAGGAGGCATGAGTGGAGGGTGAAAAAGAGAAACGTGCCAGGAGGAAGGCGCGTCAAGCCAACCCCGGCCGAGACCGCCTTCCACCTGGAAACCAATGCCCTCACTGCGGAAGAAGATGCAGAGCAAGAATAGGGCTCCACAGCCACATACGGACCCACAAGAATATTGGAAGACAATCATCCTCGGAAAGCGAGGGATCGCCTAAGTAAGTATATTTGTCGTAAAAATAGCCAGGCAGATTGAAGAAATTCATCATCCAGTTTCATGATATCTGTGTAACAATGTCAGCTTGCAGCTGGTCAAGTTAAAATGAGAGTGACAAGCAATAGCTATTTTAAAAAATATTCTCTGTTCCTTAAGCTCATTTTAAAGCTTTCACTGTTGTAATATAAGTATAATGTTACATCCAAATAGAAGCAGCCCTAGTACACTATAAACATGTTATATGACTTGTAAAAAATTCCTCCCTAACTCTCCGCCCTCACATAAAATTAAAGAAAAAATAAAGCTGACTTTCCACATTCTATCCCAAAGACATATGTATGAAATAGTAGCATTCTTCTTATTACGGTATAATATGTGAAGTCTTGATTTTTAAAGCAACTCTTAAACTGTCGTGGTAACAGAGCAAACTATTTAATAGTGGTCACTATATCTCTCTCTGTGTGTATTCCATATAAAATAGTTTAGATGCACCAGAATATGTCCAATATTCATTCAGAAACACACAAGGACTAGGGAAAAACCCACATTAATTTACTAGTCGAGGCCTAACCGAGCAAACTGCCCTGTTTACATTTTGAGGAAGTCAAAACATCATGTTAACAATCTGGCCTTGAAAAAAAAATGCAATTAATCACATGCAGTGCTCATGAGAAGTCAAGGACATGAGGAGCATATTCACTTTGCAGCTGATAGTAACTGACTTTCTCCTGGAGGAAGAAAAAACTAAAGAACTAAAGAACCAGGAAACAAGGGTAATTCGTTGGAAGTTCCCAGGTTTCAATATCTGCTGTCAAACTGGATCCACAACTCCAATTTTATATCTGATTTCTTACAGATAGGTCCCACTGAGCTTAATTGACATTTTCCTAGTTTTGCATAGGATTGTTGCCACAAGATATGAGAGGCACACAGCTGAATTCTAGATGGACTCTCTGAATGTCTCCTCCACAGCATCTTTCTCCATATTCGCCCAACATCGTAGTATTTATTCCAGGCAGCAAAAGAAGACTTTTGCTGTCTTAGTTAGATACAGTTCTCCAAAGGAGACCACCCACTTTTACCCTCCTGATATTATCTGGAAACTGGGATCGCAGCCTGGCCTGCAGCTGTATGTTGGAAAGGCAGCCCACTTACTAACTTGAAGGATTCATTTCATTTCAGTTAAAAGTCATGGTTTCTTGTTCATGGTGCATTTTCATTTTTGGACCAACAACTGGAATCAAGAGATTGCAAAACTCACCTCATTTGCCTTAAGCAACTCACTGCATACTCTCTTACATATTGATCTGGATAATTGAAATCCAACAACTCTAATGCTTCCCTGGGAGGCAGTTTGGACCATATTTGAAGAAGAGCTTGAAGCTGTGACAAAAAAAAGTAACCCAGAGATAGACAGTTAAATGACAAACCATTTCAAAATATTTGTGTCTGCATTTTAATGTTTTCTCAGCAAAGCACGCAAACATTGTTTAAAGTGAGTCATGGTTTAGTGTTTGACAATTCCAGGTGAAACCTTCTCCTAGCATCTCATTTTTCTGGATCTTAGATAGGAAGGGACAACTGTTTATAAAGACTTCAATTTCCCATCAAGCAGGAAGAAAATCCACAGTTTTGATTGGAGCTTGTGATGAAGAATATTGTTGTTGTTGTTGTTGTGTGCTGTTTCCAACTAATGGTGACTCAATACAAACCACTCACAGTGTTTTCTTGTCAAGATTATTCAGTAGGGGGATGAAGAACAGCATTTTGAGGGTGTCTGAGCAGCCAATACCTGGTAATCTAAAGGAAGGGATAACATCTGATGGACAGCATCCTAAATTAAATGTACTGGACTGTCTGTGTGACCAATTGGCATACCAAAATATTTGGCTAGTTTTGCACGGAAATCTCTCATACCCATCATCTTGTTTTCTATGCAACAACCTATGGATATTGGGGCTAGTCTTTTATATAGATCAATGCATCGGAATTGTGTAAGTTGTAGTTTTACAAGCTCATTATCCTCCTCTGCCAAACTGTGCTGGGATCCCATAGTATTGAGCCACGGCCGTTAAAGTGGTGTCAAAGTGCATTCATTCCAGTGCTGATGCACCTTCTATCCCTATTTCAACTACCTTTCTGGTTTTGAATACCTTGGTTGGGTTCTCCTCAAACAGCGAAACTATTTGAACAAGAAATAAGGTTTGCCTGTGCCCATTAGATAGTAAACTACAGTATTTATCTTATTCAGCATAGATTTATCTTATTCAGCATATGCCATAAAAAGAATTTAGATGATTACAATATGTTAGCCTGAATGTTTCCCTATAATTTGCCTTGAGAATTATGTAGAGATTGCTGGACTGTATCTTCCAGCAGCCCTTTCCATCACAGCCAATGGTAAAGATTGCTAGGAATTTCAGAAGAAGAATCTCTGTGTAAGTAACTATTTATTTTATTTATTTACTTTATTTATATACCACTTTTCTCAGCCCTCAGGCGACTCAAAGCGGTGAACAACATCGATACCAACTATGTTTCCCACTCCTGCTTTATAGTGAAAATATGCTTTTTGAAGCCTCTGGGGTGTCACCATTTTGGGGCAGTACTGCAATATCTACCAAAGCAGATAGTCTGTGCAATACATCTTTTGTCCACCTCTCAGAGGAGCATGCGAGATAATATTCTTTGATACCTGGTTCAATCTGTGCATGTGACAACACCAGGCACAGAGACTATAAATAACATGCCTCCAGAGCAATGACATGTTTCTGAAACAACACATAATTGATCACCTTCAACACTGAATGCTGGAAAGATTAATCTCCATGCTGATTGTGGACAAATGTTTGAAAATATGATAGAATACTCATGGTTTTGTCTATAACACATCAGGTAATTGAGATTGAAAATTCAAGTTAAGCATGCGTGCTACATATAAAATATTGTCCTGTTGCCACTAGGACTACGCCTACTTAGAAAATCTTAAAATTAGAGGCAGAGGTTATTCAACTAGAAAATGTTAAGTGATATGACCCTTAGAGGAAACAAGAGCTCAATGACCTGAGAAGGAGCCAAGAAGATTCCAAGAATACAGCCAGTTTTTGTTTACATTCCTCCTCTGAGCCTGAATTAGGAGGGAAATGCTGACCAGCTAGATCAACATCCCAGGTGTGTTCTGGCGGATGGTCAGAGGCCAACAAGGGGACTTGTCACATCTGGGCAGAAAGCTTTCCTTTCTTAAGCCAAAACCAAAACAATAAGACTAATTTGGCAGAGCAATCCAAGACAATGACTGTGAGCAAATCCATGGAAAACAGAGGGGTACTGGATTATAAAACAGAGTCCTTACAAGATTCACTATTTCATTTTAATTACATAAGTAAATAAAATAAAAATGACGAAGTTTGGGGGTGTGTGGATCTTTGGCATAAATTCGGATGTTCTCAACTAGAATAGAACCAGCAAATACATGAAAGCTTGGCAAATCAAAACATACTTGACTAATCTAACTGGGATTAGCAATGAGATTTAGTGCAGTGTGCTCTTTTTTCCAATTTTAACCACCATATGTAACATAAAGATTGCATGGTTTTCAAGAATACTTAAAAGGCATCTTCACAGTGTGACTCTAACCACAAATAAAATAATGGCCATGATTTCATAGCCAGTCACTGGCTACATTAAGATAAGATTGGTATATTATGTTCGGTGCTGATAAATAACACCAGGACTGGAGGATGCATCTATTTGTTATTATAATCCACATAACCTGTATTTTTAATTTCAAAGTGATGTGCATTCGAATCTGCATCGGATTGGACATTCTCATTTATACTCATTTACATGCAGCCAAGACTAGAATCAGAGAGATGAATCACAGTATCCTACTATAAAAATGAATTCCTTTGTTTACTCCTTGCAGTAGAGTAAAAAATTATTAAAGGAGAAACAGGGACAGAAAAGTATTTTCCCCCGCTCCACTGTGACTCAACTATTATCTCTTTAATAAAGTCACATGAAAGCTATTTAAAGTTGAACTTGCTTTATAAAGCCATTTGAAATTAGAGTTCCATTTTAAAATAAGCCTAAATTCATTAGTTAATGGTAATATTGTACAGGCAGTCCCTAGGTTACATGCAGCAGACAGACATAAATCCTAGTTACAAACAGGGATGAGAGGAAATCTACCCCTTGGAAGGGGGATTCGCCACTGCAAGAGTTATCATGGGGAAAAGGTGTCTGCACCAAAGCTTTATCCATCCTTGTTTTTATGACAACCCAAAATGTTCAAAATCCAGTTATCAAAGGGATAGGAAGTGAGGTGAAATGTTCTGAACAGGGGCGCAGAAAGGAAAATAAATGTTACAGTGGTGTTGACCCTTCTATATGCCATCCAAAACTAAAAAAAAATGGACTGGAATTACATTTGAAAATGGACTTGTTCTGACTTACAAATTTAACTTCAGAACAAACCTATAGAGACTGCTTATGCAGAAGTCTAGGAATGTTTGTCAAAACTCTTGGGTTGACTTCTCCAGGGATCAATTTAAGTACTGTACCTTAACACCTATCAAAAGTTTCCCTTCTCTAAGTAGAGAGATAAAAGACATGCCCAACTTTTTAAGCCGCTCCTCATAGGGCTTGTTCTCCAGACCCTTGATCATTTTAGTCACCCTTCTCTGGACACATTTCAGCCTGTCAACATCTCCCTTAAACTGCGGTTCCCAGAAGCTTAGTCTATCTTGGGAGAACCGAACAGAACCTACTGCTACTCTTTCCATATGAATTGACAGACCCAACATGCAAAACACAAATGTGAGGAGTCTAATTTTTTTCACTGTTGATTCATTCTACTGAAAACATGACCAACATCTGAATCAGAAATGGGAAGTGTGCAACTTCCATTACTGTTGGACTGCAGTTCACATCGGCCTTAACCAGCACAACCAAATCATGAGAATTCCAGTCCTACATGTTTTCCACTCCTGCTGTTCTGAGAAAATCAAGTAAATGTAATTATAGTTCTCTTTCCCTTCATAAACAGTGCTTGATACAACTGGCTACAGATAATAAGTCACTTCTAATTAATACAATTTCTCAATAATAAAGGTATAGCTGCATTAATTTTCAATGAATGTTCAAGGAGGGATATCACTGGGCTCAAATGCTGTCTTGTGCTCTGCCTTGTGGATTGTCCTCGGTGTAGAAATGATGATAGGTTTGACCAGAGGAGAATATTTCTTGTGTTACAGACCATGTGGTGATTGTGTTATTATAAAGTAACATAGAATCATAGAGTTGGACGAGACCTCGTGACCCATCCAGTCCAACCCCTGCCAAGAAGCAGAAAAATCGCATTCAAAACACCCCCAACAGATGGCCATCCAACCCCGGATTAAAAGCCTCCAAAGAAGGAGCATCCACCATACTCTGGGGCAGGGAGTGCCATGGATGAACAGCTCTCATAGTTAGGAAGTTCTTCCTAATGTTCAGGTGGAATCTCTTTTCCTGTAGTTTGAAGCCACTGCTCCACGTCCAAGTCTCCAGGGCAATAGAAACAAGCTTGCTCCCTTCTCCCTATGACTTCCCCTCACATCTTGATCTATGGCCCTCATCATGTCTCCTCTCAGCCTTCTTTATTGCAGGCTAAACATGCCCAGCTCTTTAAGCCGCTCCTTATAGGGCTTGTTCTCCAGACCCTTGATCATTTTAGTCACCCTTCTCTGGACACATTCCAGCTTGCCAACATCTCCCTTCAATTGTGGTACCCAGAATTGTTTTAGACAGAACACTTTTAGTTACATCTGAAAAACCAGAAAGTAAAGAATAATACTGGTAGTAACAAACTACGTTTTGGACCTTAGACCTATTTCAGCGATTAACTACTTTTTAACAAGGAAACACTCAAGGCTCTGCTTTATATCATACATTCCTTAAAGAAATGAGTCCAGAACAGCAATAAAGTTAGAATCTTCCAGCAATCAATCAATCAATCAATCAATCAATCAATCAATCAATGTCTTTAGATTACGTTGAAACACTTGGAAAAACGAGGAAGTGTCTGACAGCGGTTTGCTTCAGTAATTTGCATTTAATGACAGTTAAACCACAATTTCACAGCATCCTCTGCAAATGACCCTCACTGTTTACAATTTGTTTCTGGTTTTAACTAATGCTGTCTAGATCATACTATTTGTCTCACCTGAGCGACATCTTCAAGTTTGTTCCATTTCACGGATAGCAACAACTTTGGTAAAGATTGTGGAAAATTTTCACGACAGTCATACCGTAAAGTCCAAATTAGATCCATTTCATTTTCACAGAGTTGAGACAAAGGGTCCCTTTCCATGATCTCCTTTAATTCAATGTAGAACTTTTTGCCACCACGACCCTGAGAAGACACAGATTGATTAAAGGTCAAGAATCATTATTTGCAAATGGCACACATGTGCAAAGACAAAGGTTTCATATTTATAGTGAATCTCCTAAGGACCCTGGGGTTAGAACTTGCTAGAGATTTTACACTAGATGTGTTTTACTAGCATCACCAAAAAGAAAAAAGAAAGAAAGAAATATACACTTTGCGCTGATCATCACTAGGGGGCAGTATTGTTATTTGTTCATTCTGTCTGCTTAATTGTTCTATTGAGACATGGCATAGGCTTGGATTTGCTTCACTGAACTACACACTAGATCCACAGCATTTATGAAAATTAATATGTGTATCCTTTTGAGGCTAACACATAAATCAAGACTGGAGGAGAGAAATACACAAAGTCAAAACCAAGAAAAAATTAATTACTGGAGAAAAATCCAACATTTGAATGTGAATGGCTGTATTGATTATTTTCTTATTTCCAGGTCTGTAATCCAAACAAAGTGAAGACACAACAGACCAGCCATTGGTCTTAAATGAACAAGCCTAGTTTTTTTTCCTGGATTCCCTTCACCTTCCATTAATGCAAAAGGAATTCAGAAGCTGTTAATTCAGTTCATAGTTAAATACAATTTGTCATATAATCTAGAGTGGCAAACAATAGTTAACAAACCAGTATCCAATAATGGTTTCAGAATTTGGTTATCTTATCCAGATTACCTTTTGTCGATTCCTATTCCACATTAAAATAACTACAGAACAAGTTTCAGGAAAGTTGAAAGAAAGTATTTTGCATAATAGGAAAGACTCCTTTTGTCTGCTGACTCTTTACAACAAGTGGATCAAGATTGGGCTTCCAAAAGGTTTTGTACTTTCAGAATACCTGACCACTTCTCATGATAGTTGATGTTTGGTGAACCGATAACCAGTAACATTTGATGCCAACATTTGAGAATCACTACCACAAAAGATGCTAGCATAATAATTTGCTATTCACATGAAAGTTAGATACTATAGAAAACTCTGGTGCTAAAACAAATATTCAGGCCAATTCTGGTCATTTTATAATTGATATGCAATCATTTGGGTACCATACTTTTCAGTCAATAATTTAAAACAACAGAAAACTTTTATTATATTATCTGTTTTAAAATTATTCAAAAATATAAGCAGAGCCCACAGACACTGAGAAAGCTATCTATTCTTTATACCCTTGACTAGAAATAGTCACGTAAGGGCCAAAACAAATGTTTCTGAACACACACAGATTTGGTAAAGATACAGTAAGAGGGTAATAGAAATACATAAACCTTGTCCTAACCTTTAAATGTGGAAGGATAATAATTCCCTTTTGATACTTACTGCCATGCCAGAGCTATCACTGCTTCTTGCAATTTCAGCTGCCTTTTCAAGTATCTGCAAAAATATAAAATGGAGATTTTTTTAAAAGAATAGTATTCTGATACTATTGGAATTAGAGATGATCTGTTATCACTATTATTGTCCTTACAGTTTGAAAAGCCATGCAATCCCCCTGCTCCTCTCCCACAGTAACCATGCATGCTTCTTTTCCCATATCATGACTTCAATGCGCATTGTATAATGCCTTCACACTTTGCTATGGCTGGGTTATCATTTCTGTCCCACATTGTCCCTACAAAAACAGAATGCATAATCCTGCACAAGACCAGATTCTGCTTTAGAAAATTAATTATACTAAACTGTGACAATCAAAAATGTTTAAAATCCAAAGCAGTTTCCCCCCTGAAAACCAGATTTATGCTAGCCAGAGAAGTGCACTTCAATTTAACCAGCTGAATGGTACTATAACAAAATCTTTCGTGGATTCAAGATTGTTAATACAATTATTACATCACGCCTTAGCAGAAAACGGGAATAGATATGGGTAGCTATTTGACCCAAATGGCCCTCTGGCTTCCAACAAGATTTGCAGAATATGGATGGCTTGTTTCATTCCACGCCACACCTACTGCAGCCCTCAAGTTCCAAGCAAAATTTTTCTAAAGAACCAAGAGACCTTGATTCTTAGGAAAACTAACAATCTGCATCTATGAATCAATATATGAGGAAGTAATGAATCAATATAAGAGGAAGTAATCCTAATACTTTAAACCATTTTTTCGACTTAGTTGATATACTATGTTGACCCATTCATATATTTCAGTTGTCAAAACATTTACAACTCTCCCTCCCCTCCCCGAAACATTACAAATACACTTAGGATAAGAATTACCAGAAGAAAAAGCAAATGCAAGCACTCCTACCTATCTTACCTTATCAAAGGGAGGGTAATAAATAGGAAATTTTGAATACTCTTGAAATTTTATCTGCAAAGAGGTTGCATTTTCAGTGTATGGATTTGTTTGTACAGTTCCCATAGGGTTCAACATTTCTTCAAGTTCATCTAGGTAGCCAGAAAAAGAAACACAAGTTGCCAAATTATAGTTAAAACTATTCAATCGGTAGCTCATATTAGACCCATATTACAATGTTTCCCAGGTCAATTGTATATTTTGAAGATGGGCAAATAGTTTTAACAGGAATGCTTCCAGAAAGACCAGAGAAATCATCATTGCAAAAGCCTCATATTACTACTGCATAATCCTCTCTTAAGTAACCACATAAATCACCAGCAACGATAAGATCTAACAATTGAAAGGTTGCCAGTTTGAAGCCCTGGGTCAGTGTGAGCTGCCAACTGTCAAGCCCAGCTTGCTGTTGACCTAAGCAGTTCGAAAACAGCTTGAGCTGTAATTAGAGAAATTAGGTACCGCTAGAAAAACAAGTGGGGGAGGTATTTTATGACACCATAAAGAAAAAACATCAGAAAATGCCTGGGTGACCAAAAGGAAGGAGGAAGTTCTGATAGCTCTTTGTCATAGAGGACGGAGCGACCATATCCCCCCTCTCATCCGTGGCTGGATTCAAGCACGACCTTCCAAAGTGCCAAAAAGCTGGATGTTGATGTCTCAAAACATGCCTCTTTTCTGTTGTCTGACTGTCTCTGTATTGTCTATCCAAAACGGCACTGAATGTTTGCCGTGTATGTGTACTGTGATCCGCCCTGAGTCCCCTCACGAAGATAGGGCGGAATATAAATAAAGTGCTATTATTATTATTATTATTATTATTATTATTGTTATTATCCTAATTGTAACAAAAATGAGAAAGCAGATATATCCAATTGTAATTTTCTTTGGATGTTCTTGCATGCAACTTTGTTCTTCGCAGAAAATTATTGCTTGATTTTAGAATTATTTGCACCGTTTTACTTCCTCACTGCACACAATGGGACTTGTGCATCTTTTGGTATCCAAGCATCAGCTCAATAAAGTGTGTGTGTGCGTTACAAAATGTGTATTTTTTAAATTTGACACCCCAAAATACATTAAAAGTGTTTCTTCCCCCACTGGAGACTTGTTTTTAGTAGACTGTTTCATGTTAGTGTGAGATATGCTTTAAATAGCCTGCAACTGTGATATCTAGGAATGTTGTTAAAGAACTTCTCTTTCTTTGCTTTAGGGCTTTTTTTTAATCATGGTTTTACCATGGAAATATATTACACAAATAATAGGATAACAATGTTGTTGATGGTGACATGACAGTGGGAGTGGTGATGAAGATAATGGAAAAAAATATCATGATATCAGTCCTTCTGAAATGATCTGAAGCTGTGCATTGGGGAACTGCATGACAGATGCAACTTTTGAAGCACAAATGAAGACTTACCAGGAAATGATGACCAGCCGTGCAGTACAAGGTCTCCAGTTTTAAATTGGCCTTTAAAATCAAAGACCATAGTATTGACCCATGCTACAGGATAGTGCTGAAATAAAAAAAAGGATTCCAGATCCATCAGATTCTCAAGCTAGGTAAATTAGGGACTAAATATTTCAGTATTTTGCATTTGCAAGTGAGAATGCATAATTTCTGAATTTCTTCACCATTGTGGGCAGAGAGGAGAACATTTTTGCATATTGTTGTCTTCTATTAGCCCAGTGTTTCAGAAAATTATTCAGAAATACAAGTGGGATGTTTGCATAAATGTCATGTGTGAAGAAAAACAACACTGTTTCCAAATGAGCACTTTTTTGCAATAAAAGTATGATTATCATACAATACACACATAGGGTGACTGCTTATGCAAGGAGCATATTTCTATGTGACACACATGTGCACAAAGAAACATACAAACACTTTCCAAAAACATATATGTATTCTAAAACGCAGGAATTTCGGTGCTATAAAAATATGATTTTTGCACAAAAATGTGGGTTTTCAAAAATGTTTACCTGTTCTTTTTTTTACTTCTGAGACAACAAAGAAGATATATTAATGTGCCTATTGGTGCAGGGGATCAAATCTGGTCCCTGTTTCCATATATTTGGCCACCCTTCACATTTATATACTAGGTAGCATTTAAAAGCTGAATATAGATAAATATTAACTCTTTAAAATGAATTGTAAATACTCAAACATTTATTTTAAAAAACAACAACAATGAAAACCTTATTTCTAACCAATCAGAATCCGTTTGAAGTTAGGATTATTATTATTTTAAAGGTATGAAAACTAGAAGTTTGCCAATGCACACAGTGACTTCCCAGTACAACAAACAGGAACGTAAAGAAGAAATTAAATGAATCCATTACCACTTTCCCAGCTTTCCGAATGGTCTGGTATTTGGACGGATTGAGTGACTTGGCTGGCTTTTTATTTTTCATTTTATCCATCACAGCATAAACCACAAAGCACAGCCTAGCCATTCTTGGCAAATCACAGACGTTAATATCGAATTCCAAGGGTTCATTCCAAAGATGGTCATTTCTCCCAGATATTTCTGAGCTTACGATGGGCTTACAAAGGAGCTCAGTTCCATGGAAGAGTCCAGCCCTGACATGAACCTGCAAGAGAAGCATGACAGGGAGCCATCTAAACACATTCCGCAGTACTAATAAATAAGAATTATTAATATAAATATCCATACTCATTATAACAGACAGCATTTACGCTTATTGCTAAAAATCAATTGCATCTATGAAAATATGTGCTGGAGCATAAACTATACTGAACAGCTAAAGATGTCTGTTGGTAAGAAAAGTGTTGGTAATTATTTTTAATTGAAGTCTGAATAACTGATAGATATACAGTTGGGAATTAGTAGATGGGTAAGGAGCGACTTGAGAAACTTCAAGTCCCTTCTGGATTGAGAATTGGACATCTGCAAGAACGTTGCTCAGGGGATGCCCGAATGTGTTACCATCCTGTGGGAGGCTTCTCTCAAGTCCCTGCATGAGAAGCTGGAGCTGACAGATGGGAGCTTATCCCACTCCCTGGATTTAAAATGCCGACCTTTCGGTCAGCAGTCTTGCTGGCACAAAGGTTTAACCCATTGCACCTCCAAGGACTCCTACTAATCACACTGTAAGAAAGCAAATTCATTTTACAGATATTTCAATTCAACATTTGCAGATCAGATATGCTAATGATTCAGAATGCCCAACTGCCATAACTGAGATATGGATTCAAAGTAGATTTTAAATGAGTATATACACATAAAATTATTTCTGAATACATCCAGTATACCTGACATGTCCACTTAATATATGATGTACCCTATTAGAATGTTTCTTTGACAGATTCAATAATGCAAACAAACAACATAGTCATATTTCTATTTTTGTTTCAATTCCAGTATTGAGCGATCTTTTCAACTTGGATCTATTTGACAGTTTCTGAAAAGCAGCTCCCCAAACAGTAACGCAAACAAAACAAACAAACAGTTGCAAAAGGTTTTCTTTGAATCCCACCGCATGGGATTTAGTCAAAATTAACTTACTCCCTGCTTTTCGATTGGGTTTAGTTAAGACAAATCTTTGTGGATTGTGCTGAAGGAAGTTGCTTGTAATGCATCACTGAGCACTGGCATGTGAAAAATGAAAACAAAACCTAGCTGCATAAATTACTGTCTCATTTATCCTAATCTGAAGGAGACTCTTGTCTCCCCCCCCCCACCCCACCACCACCACCACCACACACACACACACACTTGCCCCATGATTTTGGCCAATATACTATAATGCTAGTGGAAATAAGAGGCTGAATTTTGCAAAGGTAGAGGTGGGCAATCACAATATGATGTCTTGAAAAAAAATCGAAGTGATTGTTCTCATGTAGCTAAGGAATGTTTAAACAACAAAACGTGGTCTATGCATAGATACAGGAGATGAAGTGTTAAGATACTACCAGAAAATCCTTTTTATTTATAAGACTTACTTACTTTGGCAGTTTCTTCTGTGTTAAGTTTATTGCCATTTACTAGCAGAATCTTGAAAGGCTGGCTAATATCCCACACACTTTGTGTCACCTGTAACAGAAAAGAAATTGCATGATGAGGTTTTCAAGCTCCTTCAGATATCTTTGCATTCAAGAAACATGCTAATTTAGCAGTCCTAAGCCAACAACATGATCTCACTGTGCAAACTCACCATATGAAAGGGGTGTAAAACCTTCTTCTACAACACTGGTTCTCAAACTGTGGGTTCCCAGGTGTTTTGGGCTACGGCTCCCAGAAATCTCAGTGGGTTTACCAGCTGTTAGGATTTCTGGGGGTTGAAGACCAAAACATCTGGGGACCCACTGTTCTACAACCTCATCATATGTAGTCTGGGCTGTGTTTACATGTGCGGAGTCCCATGGAGGCCATCACATGATATAAGGGCACTTTTGGTGCATGGAAACAGAGCCCAGACTACATCTTCAGAAGTCAGGTATAACTGGACTCAAAACTGAAAAAAAAAAAACAGGAGGAAACAGGGAAAGACAGAAAAAGGACATGGGATGGCTGGTCATCCCAGAAGATGAACTTGGATGGTAGGAAACAAAGTTCCCTCTGCTCCCCCCGCCCCCTTCATGGAATGAGGTCCTTAGTGAAGAGAGGTTCTGTCAGTAGATAGGAGCCACAGCTAGTGCACCACTTCCTGATATGTCCAAAGAAACTCTACAGGTATAAGGAGTTGTGTGGTTTCTGGGTTTCCTTTGAAGATTCCAGCCACAGATACAGTCAAAACATCAGGAGAAAATACTGCTAGAGTATGGCCATGCAGCCCAGAAACCACACAACAACCCAGGGATTCTGACCATGAAAGCCTTCGATATCTACAGGTATGGTTGAGTCTATGATTGGCGTGACCTTGAATATGCTAAATCCAAAAACTCTTTGATTCCAAATTAGGCCCCAAGATCAGGTCTATTAATACAGTAGTATCAACCTGGAAAAGGATACCCTGGAAATTCCTCCGATAATTTTTGACCAGGATAGAGATAGGCAAATCATAATACAGAGATCCATCACAAACATTTTTTTTTTAAAAAAAACCTTGCCCATCCACAAATTTCACTTTTCTTGACTCTCAAACACATACTTAGAAGTGCTTTTGATATTTTGCTAAGAATAACACACACTGATTGGACCTCTTGTATATGTTGCAACATTTTGAAAAACAAATTGCCCTTTCCAAATAAGCCTAGAAGCATCTCATACCACTCCCGATACCTGAACTTACCCGTGACTTTTTGGGGGGTAAAGGAAGTGGAAGGCTGGAACTTTTTCGGTTTATGGCAGCTTCTATAGCAATCATTTCCTGTTCGCACATTTTTTTAATGGCGCTGCACTCAACAAGAGTCAGCTGAGGAAGAGTTCTGCTCATTACACAACGATGAAGATACTGAGAAAGAAAGAGGCAAGAATTCTGTCATTTGCATGCTGAATATGGAACATAAAACATGTTTAATTTAGATTACATAACAAGGATATGTCTAAGAGGAAAGGAAAATAACTTAGACCCATTCATATTTTGCTTTTCTTTTTAAAAGCACTTAACCAGATAAGGAGTATGTACACAACTGATTAAAAAGCAAAATGTAATTTCAGATAATTCTTCAGATTTCTTGGTACTTTTTGAAGACGTGGAGACAGGCATAGTATACTCAAAATAATTCACAAATTAATCATCCAGTTATATATAAAAATCAAATAAATGCCTTTGAGGAAAGAGTAATGGGAAAGACATTTTTCTTTTTGGTCTCCATTAAAAATATGATGTCTTTTTTTTCAAGTGACAGCACTTAAGATGAAGGTGAGCAACTGTGGCCTTCCAGATATTATTTGGTTGCAACTCCTATCTTTTTATATCCTTCTTGTCTCCTTACATGGGACTCATCAACCTTAGTCAAAAGTCATTTGTTTGAGTTCTATAGTGGGAGAAAGTTGGAATATAAATTCAATAAACAAATAAATATGTGGAGGTTTATGAGAGTTACAGTTTGACAACATCTAAAGCAACATCTATCCTAAATACTTCTTTAAAAAATCAAAGTGTATACCTGAAACTGAATTAATGGATGGTCTCCAAAGACATATTCCAGCCTTCCACTAACTTGAAGCACATAGTTAGAAGGATCAATTTCTTCATCTTCCCCTCCATGGATAGTTAAACGTTTTCGAATTGCCAGCTCATTTAATTTGATGGGGTTAATATTAGGTAAAACCTGAAAACTAAACACATCCTGTTAAAAAAAGAAAGACAATAGGCATTGATGTATAGGGTTATTTCATTGTTTCTGAATGTTAGATATGAGTATTAACAGTATATAATGTTGCTATACATTTTAAAAATCTTGCCTTTTGTTTATCCATATTTTTAGAATACCTTTTCAGCGAACCATAAGAATGATAAGGTTTGAGTTGGAAGATGTACAAGTAAGTACTGTTTAATAAAATGGCTAGAAATTGTGGAAACAATCTAAAGAAAGAGCTGTGGGAAATGATGTGGCCAAAAGGCTTGAGATTTACTTGTGTAATGATTTTAAGGACAATATTTAGAAAATGATATGTCGCTGTTATTAATATCCCTCTTTCTTCTCTTAAGGGAGACTCAAAGTAGTATATGGCACCAGGGATACCATCTATACATTGAGATATATATAATGTGTCAGGCGTGACTCGAGAAACTGCCCAGATGTTTTACTATCCTGTGAGCTTTCCTCATGTCCTCGCATGAGAAGCTGGAGCTGACAGATGGGAGCTCACCCCGCTACCCGGATTTGAACTGCAGACCTTTCAGTTAGCAGTCTTGCTGGCACAAGGGTTTAGCCCATTGCACCACAGGGGGCTCCATCAAATTTATACTGAAAAGCGCTAAACAAAGACTTTTTAAATTCATGTTTTTTTCCATTTACGTATGGGTCTTGTGCCCCTACACTGAAATGAATGCAGAGAGCTGGTCGTAAGCATATAGTATTCTTGCAGCTGTTGTCATACATTTAAATAGTCTTCCATGACCTTTTTCTAGTTGATCGTCAATCCAAAAGAAAAAGTGGAATATTAAACGTTTTTTGTATCAGTTATGTATTCGAACCCAATATTTTTTAGCTTTTTCCCAAGTCCAACATATATGATAAAAAGACACATCCTGTTTTTTACCTATATGGTTCAGGGCCAGCCTATCTTCATGACCACATCTCCCCTTATGAACCAGCATGGGCTCTAAGATCTGCCAAGGAGGCCTCCTCTCAATCCCACCTCCGTCCCAAGTGCAGCTGGTGGGCACAAGAGATAAGGCCTTCTCGATGGTGGCCCCCTGGCTTTGGAATGCCCTTCCCAGGGATATTAACTTGCCCCCACATTACAATGTTTTCGCAAGGAGCTGTAAACATGGCTCTTTAGGCAGGCTTTTGGAAATGATTAAGGCATCTGCTAATCTAAGGACCAAACAATATAATATTGACACTGGCACTTTAACGGTCAAATTTGGGCTGTGGTTGGGTTGTTGTATTATTCATTTTAATGACTTTAATTGGAATTTGTTTTTATTTTTGTAATGTGCTGTTTTCATGTGAAGTAATATTGTCATTGTCTAATAGGTTGATGTGATTTTATCTGTATTTTATATGTTTATGGCACTTGTATGTGCTTCTATAAGCCACCTCAAGTCCTTTTTGGGAGATGGTGGTGGGGTATAAATAAATTATTATTATTATTATTATTATTATTATTATTATTATTATTATTATTATTATTATTATTGCCTGAGTGAACATGCTTCTTGGGGTCTATAGACCCTTCAAAATGTGTGTGTAAAATGTGGTAACTTTTCCGTGCATTTTTTGTAATTTGTAGCTTGTTTGTTTTTTGTTATAAGTTATTTAAATTTTATTGGCTGTAGATTTTATTCAATGAAGATTATTTGAAAAAAGAAATCATAATCACTACCATTAATATTATATATTTAGGTTGGTTTTTTTTTAGTAGTTGAGAAATAAAGTGGCTCCCAACTATTATACAATACGATCGAAAATCTCCAGCATATAAATATTCAAATAGGACTAAGCATACAAATTGGTTACAATATTAAATCAATTATAAAATTAAAAACAATTAAAATACTATGCAGCACTCTTCCGGCTCACTCTTAACAACTGTAGTCTTAATCATAAAATCATAGTACATTTTGACCAACAAAAACAATTGGAAACACCAAAATCAGGAACCTAGTAAAATATGTGCTATAATGCCTTTTTTTTTTAAAACAAGAGAGGGAACCAAATAAAATTCCAAAGGGAAAGAATTCTATCGTTTGGGAGAGATATAATAGAAAGCTGTTTCCCATGTGTTTGTCATGTGAGCCTCTGCAGGAAGTGTTGACTTCAAGGTAGTTTCCCTGCCGATCTTAATGATTGGATTAGGAATAAACTAATGTGACTTTTCCCTATTCCCTTCCATAACAACTGGTGAGACTTAGAAACACCACTGCAATTACAGAAAGAATTGGTTTAGAACAACAGACCTTAAAAATGACTGAAATTATGTCATAGAAATGATACAGACTCTTTCAATAAAATTATTTCACAGTTCATATGCAGGTCATTCATGCACCTCAAAAGAGGCAATTGTATGTGCTTTTATTACTATATATATATATATATATATATATATATATATATATATAAGCAACCATTGCTTTTTTACATAAATCTCCTTTTGTGCCCAAATGCGTCTTGTAAGAGTACATATGGAGCTTTCATTCTGAAAAACACACCAGGAAAATGGAATGATTCAAAAGCAATTATTGACAAATGCAAATCCACGGCTTAGCTTTCATTTCATTTTATGATGATGACGATTTTTTTTGTCTGGAAGCTTGTTTATGGAGCAGCTTTCTGGTAAAAGGCCAAACCTTGCAATGGAAAATCGTAACCATAATGAAGTAGTCAGTCAAAATCAATTCAATATTTTCTTTGCTTCAAAACTTATTTGTCTCAAAACAGCTATTTCCCCTGAAGTTACTGCCAAAACACAGTCCATCATACGACAAAATTAAAAAAAACAAAATCTTAATTTCTTTAAAGTCACAGACTCTGTTTTTTAAAAAATGGCTTATGTCCATTGTATCGCATCTGTTTCTATAAAGTTCTAAAAATATTTTTATTCTAAATTTCAAACACTTATGAATGAAGATCTGGATGAATTACAAGCTTTGGGGATGGGGGCAAATCAAGAAGGTACCAACTTTTTGAAACCCTTTCTCCCAGTGCTGTGTCCCAAATGAAAATGTCTTCCTTGCTACTGTTATCTGCTGAAAATAGCTGCTGGAAAACACTGCGGAAAGAAAAAGTTAATTGTCTCCTGTAACAATGCCAATTGAAGCTATAAGATCTCTAAGATTGTTTTCAAGGTAGATGAGGGATGGAACTCATCTATGCTGCATTCATTTCATGCTGGTATTTCTATATTGCTTCTCCGCAATTATTAAAATGTGGGGAACATTTATTCTTCTGTTCAAAGCCACTATCACTTGCTTTGTTCAACCTCAAACACTACGTCTATCTTTACTAATTAGTTGACTGCATTTGTTGTTAATAGATTTCAAGGAGGTTTTTTTTAAAAAAAAAAAGAGGTGGAGATATTATAAGATCTTTTTCAAGTTTAAGAGGTCTCAATGTGATACCAACATTTTGAAATCTATTGGATTTTGTTTTTTGTTTTTTTGTTTTGTATTAGGAAGCCTTTCATAATCTGAGCCTCAAAGCTAACTTAATTTGTGCCTAGTTACATTCAGACACACCTTGTCCTTTCTGTTTTTCAGGATCTCTAGAACTGGAAGTAACTTTTTTTCTTACAGAAGAACAAAAACTGTCCATGAGGTATTTCGGGAGCGGGGAGAACAGAACTGAGCTTTCCCCTTCTAGCTACCTGCAATCTCAATAGTAGCAAGTTAATTTTTTCCTGAGCTTTTCTAAGACAATGAATTCTCAGATGAAGTTTGCCATGCATATAGCCTAAAGAACTGATTCTTTATTTATTTATTTATTTATATGGGCCATTTATATCCCATCCTATCTCATCTCCTTAGAGGGACTCAGGACAGCTAACAACCGGCACAGCACAGTGCCCACAATAAGAAAAGCATAAATATACATAATATAATAAAACAGTATAAAAACAATATAAAAATATTAAACATATCGCCAAATTCAGTTGTCATCCTAAAAGCAGTCCATCATAGTCCATTAAAACTGTAGCTTTGCCAGCAAGTCAGTCTAGTCCACAAAGACCCTTTTCCCAGAGCCAGAATTTGACTTTTTTTTTGAAGCACAGGAAAGATGGAGAAGATCTGATTTTGTTTGGGGGGAATTCCATAGCCGAGGGGCCACCACGGAAAAGGCCCTGTCTCTCATCCCCACCAAGTGTGATTGTGATGGTGGGGGGACTGAGAGCAGCCCCCCCCCCCCGACGATCTTAAGGTCCCAGGTGGCTTGTAGAGGGAGATATGTTCGGACAGGTAAACTGGGCCAGAACCATTAAGGGCTTTATAGGCCAAAGCCAGCCGTGGGTCCCAACCTCAAATGGCATCCCCTTAACTCAATATTGGGATTCTGAAAGCTTTGCCAAAAAGTTTTCTGAATGTCAGTTAGTGGATGTTTTAGACATTTGCAGAAATCTGTTGTGCATTGTTTACAGTGCAGAAGATGCTTCAACTGTATTCCACAAAAAAGGAAAATTAGTCTGATTTGTGATCAGTATATGTTTGATTTCTATACCTATTTTCTATACCTATATACCCAAGGTCACATAAATATTTTACCCTGCTTAGTTTCCAAGATCAGACAGAGCCGGGAGCTTTCAGAGTATTTAGGTTCAAAGTAAAGTACATGTTTGCAGATTGTCTCTTGATTTATGGTGATCCTGTGGGGTTTTGTAAGGTTCTCAGAGAAAAGGAATACTCAGAGGTGTTTTTCTCCCACTGCCTTTCTCTGAATATCACCTACTGTACTGGATATTCCCCTGGAATCCCCATCAAGGTACAAACCAGGCCTTACCCTGCTTAGTTATTTTTAGAGCTGGTGTCTTAAGCAAACTGATAATAATACTGCAACCACCATCATAATGTTTCAAGAGCGTAAAAAAGTGTAAAATGCAAGGAAGGTACCCCTTCCAACCCAATTGTTATAAAATGAATTCTCAAACTGTTTAAATATTCATATAACTAGCTATTAGTCTGTAGTGTCAACTTCCAGATTAAAAATATGGCAAGTGATTAAAGGCTATGATCTAAAAATATCTAAGGGGGTGTGAGCATGAAAAGCTTCACATACACACAAACGTTTTCTAAAGACAAATGGTGCTTGAAACATATTGTGGTACCACAACCAGATTGTTGTGCAGGATAGTGGCAGTGGGGAAACCACTGTTTGAGAAATACAAGTTTAAATCCTCCTTAGGCAAATCTTTTGAATCCTGCTAGGGAAACAGTAATGAGAAAAAGCTGGAAGCCTGTAAAGTTCAGTCCTTGTATTTTCCAAAACATAGTAAGGGAATCCTCACTTGAAAAGACTGCACATATCCATCCAACGAAGAAGAAGCCAAGCCAACAGTTTGGCCGCCAGGGAAGAAGAGAAGAAGTGTGAGAGCAGTGGATCCTACAACTTGCAAGTGAAAATTATTTGAGATAGATGTGGGTATGTATGCTATAGATGGTGAATATCTTACCTGACAGTTATCAAAATGAACAGCCACAACTAGATTGCCACCATAAAGCTTATCCTGGAGGTTTTCCTGAACTGCTGGTTCCAATTCTGGTGGATAAGTGTGCTTTAACCAGTCCATCCAAGACAACCTCACAAGTGATTGCATCTTCTCTTCACTGATTCGTCGCATCTTTATCCGGAATTCTTTAACTTCTGGGTCTTGTAGGGCATCAAACTCATGGAGGCCTGAAAAAAAAATTAAGTAAGTGGGTTTGTTTGGTTTTTTTAAAGGGGAGAAAGTATAATTTCCCCACCAAATCAAATATAGTTACTCCATCCAAGTTGTGTTATTGCATGAATCACTTCCATGCCACATACTCTGTAAAAATAAATACCACTGACACACAGGCACTTTCCACTTTCCATGGAAAAGTATTCTTCCAAGAAAATTTAAGAAATTGACTCACAACTATAGAATTACCTTGTTTTCTTCATAATAATGAAGGGGTGGGAGGTTTAGCATAGCTGATAAATAATTAGCAATTATCAGATCTATCGACCAAATAGGTTGCAATTTCGAAGCCCCGCGTTGGAGTGAACTGCCAAATGTCAGCCTAGCTCATTGTTTATCTAAGCAATTCAAAAACAGCTTTAGTTGTGATTAGAGAAATTAGGTACCGCTAAGGGTGAGAGAAGTGTTTTATGACGCCATAAAGAAAGAAGATCAGAAAATGCTGGGTGACCAAAAGTGACCAAAAGTCGGAAGTCCCACCGGCTCTTCATCATAGAGGATAGAGAAACAGCATCCTCTGGACCCAAGCCCAACCTTCTATGGCACCAAAAACAGCTGGAACAAACCACATCCTTCTGTTCTGTCTGTCTGTATATTGTCTATACAAAGCGGCATTGAATGTTTGCCATGTATATGTACTGTGATCTGCCCTGAGTCCCCTTCGGGGTGAGAGGGGGGGAATATAAATTGTTGTTGTTGTTGTTGTTGTTGTTGTTGTTGTATTCCACCCATATATTTTAATGCAAATTTGAAGATTAGCAACAGGAAATACAAGAACATATAAGTTATTCATTCAAGAACTTTAAGAAAACAAAATGCAATGGGAAGACTTTGATGGACATTAGTGAAGCTATCTCCAATAGTTTTTGTGCGTGTGTGTGTCAGGACTGACTTCCAAAACTGCAAGCCACTACTGGTGTGAGAAAATTGGCCATCTGCAAAGACGCTGCTGAAGGGATGCCCAGATGTTTGATGTTTTACCATCCCGTGAGAGGTTTCTCTTATGTCCTCGCATGGGAAGCTAGAGCTAAGATGGGAGCTCACCCCGCTCTTTGGATGTGAACTGCCAACCTCTTGGTCAGCAGTCCTGCTGGCACAAGGGTTTAACCCACTGTACCACCGGGGGCTCCATATCCCCAATAGTAGAATTGTCTAAATATTAGAAAATTCCTGTAGTCTAAAGTACAGCTCAAGCCAATTCCCAGGAGCATAATTTTTTTACTCTAACAAGCACAATAAAGCTGAATCTTCCTTTGTTTTACAAGAGGAAAATTGCCCAGTCATTCTTCTTGAAATAATCAAAAATCTAAAAAAGCTGCATTTGTATCAGTAGAAGTCATTGTTACTATAGACAAGTTAATGCTCAGTTTTCAGTTGAAATCTAAACAGAACTCGTAGCTTTTGTGCCAGGACTAACAACTGTTCTTTGTTTTGATGAGAAGCATGACCAGCCTAGTGACTATTTTTAATTTAAGTATACAATCGCAAGTAAACCCCACTTTTAAGCATGAAAAAAGTGGTATTTTGTTTCTATTTTTTAAAAAAGCTCTCTAACAGTAGCTGATTCATAGTATAGCTACTGGTTTCTTTTAAAAAAAAGAAAGAACTGAATATGGAAAAATGCCTGTAGATAAGATGACACTAAAAAAATGGCAAGACAGTATAATCAAAGCATATGCCATTTTTTAAAAACATCTTTGTGCACACACAGAAACAAAAAAGTAGCATTAACATGATAGCTGCAACCCTGACTGCCAAGACTTGTCTAGGATGCAAAGCTATTGTAATTATTTTTGTTATTAATAATTCATTTATATCTTGCCTTTTCCACAAAACCAGCACTCAATATTCATTACGAAAATGAATATACAGATAAAACATATAAAAGACAGAAGTGAAAATTGACAAAAAGTTATGGTTGAAATCAGAGTTTGGGATTACCACATTAATACATTTGCCAAGGCACTACTCAACCATGTTCTTCTAGTCATTTCCTCATACTCATTAGATTTCCCAGTTAATGCTGAAGTTTAAAAATATGTTTCTATGAACTGTGTTGTTATTATTCATTAGGGTGGGTCTCTCTTCCTCTATCATATTCAAAATAACAGTGAGAACTGCTGTTTCACTATAAGAAATGTTATAATAGTGAGGGGGAAAGGGGAGAGACAAAACTATCTGGATTTGAAAAACAAAAATGGAGTCTTAGAATGGAATGGAAATGGCACGGGGTGAGTGATGTCTTTGCTTAGTAGGAGACCAATTTTCTGCAGCAGGTAGAACATCTGGAATTTCATCACCCCTCCCCTTTTTGGTCTATGTCTGAAATTTTTCTACATTCCAATTATTTTAGTAACTTCTTCTCTAGGTTGTTCTGAGTTTTCCGGGCTATATGTCCGTGTTCCAGAAGCATTCTCTCCTGACGTTTTGCCCACATTTACGGCAGGTATCCTCTGAGGCAAGCGAGGTTTATATATCTGTGGAATTATTTTAGTAACTTCTTCGCTTAGTTGTTGTGAGTTTTCCAGACTGTATTGCTGTGTTCCAGAATATTTTGCCCACCTCTATGACAGGCATCCTCAGAGACAAGTGAGGTTTATATATCTGTCCAGGGTGGGAGAAAGAACTCTTGTCTGTTGGAGGAGGTGTGAAAGTTGCAATTGGCAACCTTGATTAGCATTGAATTGCCTCGCAGCTTCAAAGCCTGGGCTGCTTCTTGCCTGGAGGAATCATTTGTTGGAAGGTGTTAACCGGCCCTGATTGTTTCCTGTCTGGAATTCCCCTGTTTTTTTAATGTTGTTCTTTATTTACTGTCCTGATTTTAAAGTTTTGCAATACTTGTCGAACAGACAAGAGTTCTTTCTACCACCCTAGACAGATATATAAACCTCACTAGTTTCCAACATACTTCATAACCTCTGAGGTGGCCTGTCATAGATGTCGGCAAAATGTCAGGAAAGAATGGAACATAGCCATACAGCCTGGAAAATTCACAACAACTCAATGATTCTGGCCATGAAAGCCTATGACAACACAACTTCTTATCTACTCTTTATATCCTAGGCTAGCTTCCATTTTATATTATTTTTTGACAACAATGTTATACAATCCAATTTAGAATGAACGACAATGTTCCCTTTGTAAATCTGATTATACGGTAGTATGTACCTGGATAATTTAGCAAAGGGTTCTCTTCAAACCCACTCCATGTCTCTTCCTCTCTTGGCTCATCTCTATCCATTCTATTTTACCTCCTCCTCTGCACATCCACTTTCATTATAAAGTTAATGTCAGATGAGTGCAAAGAAAAGTGAGATTGTTAGATACCTCATCATTAAAATGGCAGATGCTAAGTACATATAGGGTTTTTGGAGTCCCTAGATTCTATTTGCAAAATCTGAACACTGCTACTAAACTCTGCAAGCTGCATGTCTTGAAAGGGAATTGGGAAAACAGATAAGGTTGTGATTTGGTTGTGTTCTGCATATGCACAGAGCTTCTTTAAAAAGTCAGATAATGAACTCTCCACTCTTGATTCACTAATTAATCTTTGCAGCTATCCACTTATTGAAGAATCTATGGAAAATCGCTAACTTGTAACCCAAATATATTACTCCTTATTAATTTTTCACAAACTAGGCATTAGACAAATAAGTGCTGTATATAGGCTGATGGGGGGGAAAAGAAAAGAGAGCACATGAGTGACAACCGAGGTTGTAAGATGTGATTTCATGATTTGGAGCAGTAACTTCAACTTGACAGTTTCCAGATGTGTTGGAACTGTTGCCATTCTCAGGTGACAGCTGTATTATGGGATTTGCATCCATGTAGAATAAAATTCTAGGTTGGAGGAAGGCAGTTTAAAACTGGCTTTCTGAAGGAGGCAGTAACAAACTGTATCTCCATGAGATCAATGATAACAACTGCTACTTCATTCTTAGTAAATACCTTCCTAACAGCTATTAGGAATTGTGGGAGTTGAAGTCCAAAACACCTGGAGGGCCAAAGTTTGCCCATACCTGCTCTGTGGCCACATTAACTTTTCAAAAATGAGTTAGTTAATGACAGGACAAATAATAATTTCAGTTATTAATACTTACAGCAGTGAATTAATTTCCTGTTTCTAATGGTTAAAATTACTAGATTCGTGTTCAAATTTAATATCCTATGTTTCAGTTAAAATGCAGTTAAACTACCCATAAAATTAAAACTTTTAAACAAATCCATTAAAAAGATATCACATAACAGTCAATAAAACAGTATACGATTAAAAGCCTTTGCAATCAGTTCCTTCATGCCTGGAGGAACAAAATATTTTCACTTGCTGGTGAAAAGAGTGCTGATTTTCAGTGGATCTGTGACTGCTAGGTGTTTGAATCTCCTGCACAGCCATGGAAACCCATTGGGTGGCCTTGGGCAAGTCACATTCTTAGGCCCCTTCTACTTTGTCCTTCTATCTCACGATCTGATCCCAGGTTATCTGCTTTGAACTGGATTATATGAGTCTCCACTGCCATATAATTTGGGATAAGCAAATAATCTGGGATCAGATCTTGGAATATAGGCCACATCTACACTGTCACATAAAATTATCTGCTTTGAATTGGATTATAGGCAATATATACTCAGATCATATGGATTATCTATTTTGATAATCTGAATTATATGTCAGTTTCCAGCCATAAGAACACTGTAGAAGGGGCCTCAGGCGAAAGCAATGGTACACACACCCAACTGATCATATAAATATTCCAAGAAAATCCTGTGACAAGTTTTCCTTAGGTTTGCTATAAATCAGGAACAACTTGGAAGCACTCAACAACTCATATAGATTGTTTCACAGTAAGAGACAGTGTAACTAAAACATGTATCACTGTGGTGAGATTACACCTTGCCAGCAATGAGTGCACCAGCTCACTACTAGCTTCAGTTGTGAAAAGTCACCACTGGCAGATTAAGGGATGAACCCAGAAGAATGCCCAGCTGTTAGCAAGTGTCTTCAGGGAAAGATGATCCCATCTAGCACAATGAATCCATCTTCCATTATCTGACTTTCAAATGACCAGAACCACATCTTATTTAGCTTGATTAAGCTTTAATTTAATCACTTCTATTATTGCCAATGACATATATCAGTTCAAAATATAAATAACTTCCTTTCAATTAAGTACAAAGAAGAAATAGAGTTGGGCATCATCAGCATACTGGTGACAACTGCCCCAAATTTGGTGAGAATTATATCCTCGTGATAATATATCAGATCCATCTGTGCATTTGGTTACACCACCATGAAGGAGGGCCTCAAATAATGACCATAAGATAGTGCCTTATCACAATGGGGCTGCACTGGATAAGTACTGATTTCAGTTCACCTGAAGTACGAATCAACATCAAATTAATGCACTTTTAATGCCATTTTCCCCACACTGAACTCCACAAATAATAATAATAAACTTTATTTGTATGCTGCTCTATCTCCCCAAAGGGACTCAGAGTGGTTTCCAACATGTACGGCAACGTTCAATCACCGGAAAGAAACCATACAGACAATTTCATCAAAATAACACATTTGTCAATATAACACTACCCAAAAACTTAATAGACAAAATAACAACTAAAAACACAATAAAATATAAAAATATCTGCTAAAACATATTAAAGCTAAAAATATTTTTAAAACCTATTTCATTGTAGCCCCATGATTGGAGATTCAACAAAACCAATGACCAAGGTTACCAAGTGAACATGGGCCAACTATAAAAAGGTTGGGCATGGGATGGTGCAAATAGCAAATAAAGACATTTACCTTTTCCTATAAGGACACCTATTTTAGAATCCAATTTTTCCCCTGGGTCACAGCTTCTTGTAATTAGTTGAAGAACAGGAAGAAATGGTCTAACATCACAAAGCCTCCGGGTCTCATCCTCCAGTTCCTCGCGTACTGCTGTTTGGTTCACACAGGAAAACATATAGGAGTCGATCTCCATAAGAAGATGAAACAGAGGGTAGCTGTGTGCTTGCTTCCATAACAGCTGCAAATAAGCACAAGGGGCTGAAACTACAGTAACAATGTTTTGTTCATAAACCCCTCCCCAAATAAAATCTCTGTCATCCTAAAGCACATCACTGGGTAGGTCCTTTGGTAACAACCTTCCAATATCTTCCTCCAGCATCACAAAAAGCCATGCTAAAATGAGTCACAGCTGATTTAATCTTCCAGACAAAACTGGCAGGGCATCCATCTAATATAAATTAAACATAAATTGTGGCAAAGAACAGTGGGTTTAAAGAAAAGGTAGTTCCTTCTTGTGGTAAAAACCATTCTAGTACAACCTGTTATGACTTTAGGAGCACACTTGTCAGCCTTTTATTTATATTCCAATAAATATTTTGAAGACAAATCTCACTTCCTTGGTTCCATATTCTTTTGGAAGGCTTGTTTGGCAAGGCTGGCACAGGGCTTTTGCCATTGAGTTACTGAAAAGGACATTCATTCCATGCTAGGTACAGAACCTGATGTTTGTGAGAAATTATGTGGGTATTTGCCAATGATCAAGCAGTAGCTGGCCTTTCAGCAAAAGACAATTATCTTTTATGATTACAAATAAAAAGGTTTATAGTTTTTTTTCCACAACTACAGGAATAGAAAACAGTTGACATAGCAGGTGCTTTCCTGTTGTTCCCAAAGGGTCCAACAACAGTAATTTCATCAGTATTTTCTGATAGGAACCATCTGTTCCAATAAACTGTCTACTATAATGCTCCTCTGTTATGAGCAAAACAGGAAAGAGAATAAATTATGAGCATACTTCCATGAAAAATACATGTGCCAAAATTCTACAGGAACCTTCCCTTAAACAAATACTCTGATATTATGATTCTAACATGAAATTAAGGGCCTTTCCAGACAGGCCCTATATCCCAGGATCTGATCCCAGGTTTTCTGTTTATCCTAGGTTATCTGGCAGTGTAGACTCATATAATCTAGTTTAAAGCAGAAAACCTAGGATCACACCCTGGGCCATAAGGGCCTGTTTGGAAGGTCCTTCAGCTACAAACAATATAAAACACTGAATATGTAGAAAAAGCAAACATTTTAATGAAGTCAATTACAGATAATCTACTCTTACCTGTTTGATATGACAAATAGTGGCATCACGAGGGACATCTAAACTGATGTAAATTCCAGTGGGAAGCAGGCAATCCACAGATATTGAGCTATCCGCTGCTATCTGTGAATCTACTGCCCAGATGTCCAGGGTATCTGCCATGGCAGGAGGCATCATAGATTTTAAATATCATAACCACATTGTTCTAGGAGGAAAAGAAATCATTTTACAATTTGTCAGATTTGCTTCCACTCATCAGAATCGAACACAACATACATTTGTAGTATTTGAAAAGGTAAGACATGATTTGTTGTCAAAAGCTTTCATGGCCAGAATCACTAGGTTGTTTTGAGTTTTTTGGGCTGTATGTTACTGGAACATGACCATACAGTCCGAAAAACTCACAGCAATCTAACTTACTCACTTGCTTCTGACTGGCTTGTCCACTTACACCAGTGGTTCTCAACCTGTGGGTCCCCAGGTGTTTTGGCCTACAACTCCCAGAAATCCCAGTGAGTTTACCAGTTGTTAGAATTTCTGGGAGTTGAAGGCCAATCTGGGGACCCACAGGTTGAGAACCACTGACTTACACAAACAACTAATTCAATGGGAAAAGGTAAACTGAATCCTGAGAAAACATAGACTCTGCAAATTGGTGGTTTCTCAATTCAGGAAATGGGTAAATGCCCCATCCCAGATGGAAAGTGAGGTACATAGCTGGTAGTACACCCACATCCATCTCTGTTACTGAAGGCAAAGGTGGAATTCATTTAATTCATTCCATCTACAGTAGAGTTTCTCAAACTGTGCAACTCCAGATGTTTTGGACTTCAGCTCCCACAATTCCTAGCAGCTGGTAAACTGGCTGGAATTTTTGGAGCTGAAGTCCAAAACATCTGAAGGAGCACAGTTTAAGAAACTCAGAATTACAGCCTTTTCCAAATAGAGATGATCTAGGTGGGTAAGTTCATGAACTGCCTGACTGAACTACTGGAATTTGTTTTTTCAAGGGACTACCCTTGCAGATGATGCAGAAGCTACTATTAGTGCAAAAAACTAACATGAATGCCATAAAGAAACTATATAAAATGTATAGGAGCTGCACTTAAAGTTCTGTAAACAGCTTAGGAGCTTCATACATGAGCAAGTGCATCTTCTTATATTTGTCTGCCACAAAACAGATGTTTGCTGGAGGATGGTACCCTTGGAGACCTTATTGGTGCTGGCATTGGCTTCATTCCAGAATCAATTTAAAGTGTAGTTTTTTAGTAGTGCCTTTGGCATAGAACTTATTTCCTCCAAAATGCACATGATCATAGTTTTCAATTGTTTTCAACTTGTAACTCTTAACTTTTAAAATCTGACCTATTTTTAGTCTGGTTAAATTATATTTATTATTTTAAATGTTACTATTTCAAAAAACATTTAAATTAATTTTATTTGGACACCATCTTGATATTCATAGATATAGAGTGGACCTAAGCATAAATAAATAAATAGGATCATGAATAAGGATGGCATTCTCTAAAAAGTACATATTCATAAAAAAGGAGGATGCTGGACCGGTTTACAAATCCTAGCTTGTTTGAGAGTGGTAAACCAGAATCTTAAGTTCCATAATATTTCTGGTTTCTTAGCCACACATGGGATTAGCCAAAGAAATGAACAGAAGATATGAACCAGCACACAGTTTATTCATCATAAAACAGAATATACTGGAATTATATACTAGAAATAGATTGACATTCTATGTCAATCTAACCATTAGCAATGAACTCCCACACAACTAAAATTCATTAACAGGGATTGCCTATGCATACAGACATTCTAATCAAGATATTGAGGAAGTATGAAATAAACAAGGAAACTGCTGGAAATGAGCAAAAGACTGAAGGAGGGTATTTTCCGTATTTTGAAAACATTCATTGTAGTAGGAGTTTTGAAATACAAAATGCCAGAATACCAATACAATATAAAGCAGTGTGGATTTAAGAGTTCTGATTTTTACAGAGACTGCTCTACTGTGGAATTAAACACAAATGGAAGTCTCAAAACCAGAACATTTTACTCTTGGGTTCATTAAAAGATAACAACACTACAGAACTGCATGGCATTAAATAAAAACCAATGAAACTGACAAAAAGTACAGAGGAATGATAATGAGATATTATTACACTCTTTATTTAAACACTTCTATTCTGCCCTTTAGCACAAGACATCAGGATAGCATACAATATAAACAAACTGAAACAAATTAATTACATAAATAACTTAAAAGGTAAAATCATATTAAACATAGCAACAGTTAAATCACTTTGAAACAACTGTTACAACCACTTGTAACAGGAAACTGAAACAATGTGAAACCATGTCACATTTGAAAACAAATTAGTCCCTGAAGGCTCTTGAAAGACATCAGCCTTGACACCTTCAAGTGGAGGGTGTTCCCATTCAAGCAGGTCCTCTCCCATGTCTACCCCCTTTGAACTCTTTTCTGATAAAGAGGAGGGCTCCCCCTACAGTTCACAATTTTCAGGCAGGCAAATATAAGAAAAGACACTCCTTCATGTATCAAAACCCCAAGCCATTTAGGGCTTTAAATGTCACCACAAGTACCTTCAATTCAGACTAGAAATAAATTTGCAGCCAGTGCAGACCTATTAAGATCAGTTCTAGATGATGCCCATATGATAATCCAGACAACTATCTCATTTCTGCATTTTACATTAGTTATATATTTTGAGTCACTCTAAAGAGCAGCTCATGTATAATGGATTGCAGCAGTCTAATGGGAAGTTACAAGATGGGGGACCAATTGTGGCTGAGGTATCCATGTCCAAGAAAGTCTGTAGCTGATACACCTGGTTGGGCTGTCACCAAGTTTTCCATGCCATGGAGTTTATTTTTGCCTATGTATTGTCACTGATTTGTATTTCAAAATGTTGATTGACTCATTTTGTATTGAAGTAAAAGATACAAAGCTTCTGGGAAAGGGAGAGTATGGCATATTGAAGTGAATGCTAATTGGTGGAATATTTGGGGAGATTTGCATCTTGTTGTTTATTCATTCAGTTGCTTCCAACTCTTCGTGACCTCATGAACCAGCCCACGCCAGAGTTCCCTGTCAGCTGTCACCACCCTCAGCTCCTTCAAGGTTAATCTGGTCATGTCAAGAATACCATCCATCTTGCCCTTGGTTGGCCCCTCTTCGTTTTTCCTTCCATTTCCCCCAGCATCATTATCTTCTCCAAGCTTTCTTGTCTTCTCATTATGTGGCCAAAGTACTTCACCTTTGCCTCTAATATCCTTCCATCCAGTGAGCAGTTGGGCATTATTTCCTGGAGTATGGACTAGTTTGATCTTCTTGCAGTCCAAGGCACTCTCAGAAGGTTTCTCCAACACCACAGTTCAAAAGCATCTATCTTCCTTCACTCAGCCTTCCTTATGGTCCAGCTCTTGCATTCACCAGTTACTACTATAGGAAATACCATTGCTTTAACTATGCAGACCTTTGTTTCCAGCATCATGTCTCTACTCTTAACTAATTTTCCAGATTGGTCATTGCTCTCCTCCCAAGAAGTAAACATCTTCTGATTTCCTGGCTTCAGTCTGTGTCTGAAGTAATCTTCATGCCTAGAAATACAAAGTCTGTCACTGCCTCCACGTTTTCTCCCTCTGTTTGCCAGTTATCAATCAGCCTGGTTGCCATAATCTTGGTGTTTTTTTTTTAATGTTTCACTGAGGTTTGCTTAGGGATAGTATATGACAGTTGGGAGTTCAGTTCAACAAGCTTGAGTTAGACAAGATTGAAGTTAGACTAGGTTTGGGTCAGAGAAGTGAGTTTTGATATGATTGGTCTGAATTTGAGAGAAGTGTGAGAGACAGTGTATGGTGTTTCAAAGATGATAATTAATCTGTACCATGCTTAAATTCTATAAATAATCATTTTTTTTACATGTACTTTTGGCAACCAGAAATGCTGTCTATCTGAGAGCTTTATACAGGCGAAGGGTCTGTGAATATAGAGGAGTGGTGTCTATTGAGAATTTTTTTTGCAGTTTAGTAAACTTTTTCCATGTTTTATGATAGACCCAATTAGGAGATTACATTTATAACCCAGGTACAAATATAATGTTACATAGCATTATTTATGTTATTATATTTCACCTTCTTTCCCTTTCCCTCCCAAATAATACTATGGCCAAATGCTAGTTTTTATAGAAAAACATGTTCGTAAGTAGTGTTATTGACATCAAAACCAGTCCATTAGCTATACAAAACTGGCAAGAAGACATAAACACACATACACACTGCCTTTTTCTGTGTGCTGTTTAAAATTCCTGTCTTGTAACTATTTGCCATAGATGGCTTTTTGGCACCATTTCAGTTGCTGGATGTGAGGGTGTCGGGTTAGTCACACACCAACGCTGCTTTGCGTTATACAGTTTGGCCCGTGATTCATTCTCACAACAGTCTCATGGCTGTGACAAGTGCAATTTTCTGTATAAATATGTGCACCTCCCTAACCTTTATGTTCTTAGCTAGAGGGAGGAACTAGAGGGGTGACTGGGTGCCATTTATGAAAGAATCTAAATGGTTTCATTGACGAACAAAATGCTAAATCAGCTGCTGCTGTGCAGTTGTATTTGCATCTTTCCTACTTGAAATGCTCCACAAATGCTGGCTGGTTTAAGCACTTTGCTAATTGATCTTCATTTGGGGCCCATCCTCCTCCTGGCAGCTTTCTATGTCTAAGTAGCATGATTTAATAATGAACTGACAGCATAGAAAGCAGTGCCCACAAAAAAGGAGGCATATGTTTAAATGGAATTTTTCTGATTGGTGGGCATGTGCCACTTGCTCACCATGATCCCACTGTTCTCAGAGTTTTTCATATGAGTCAAGTTCAGAGTCAACCACATTGAAAACCCTTGAAAATTTTTAAACCATTTCAAAGATATAATATTGTGAAGTTGAATTATGTATCATCGCATTCCTCCTGGTAATAACTGAACTTAGGACTCAAAAATCTTGACCTCACTCTTGACTATTGGTTTGTACCTAAAGCTATAATGTCCTGTCTTATATTGCTCTTACCCTTACTGCTGCCATATAATCTATGCACTTTATCTTTATCTACCAGTCCTATCCCCTAAATTGTTGTTACACCACTCAGCCCACCTGTGATGAGAAACTGAATTTTAT